CTTCGCGTTTATGAAAAAAATACGTTTACACTGCCGGCAACGAAATCGTCCGTGGATACGTTTCCAAACGGAGGGGGGGAGTTATCCTGTAAACGTCGTTGCATAACGATTTGGTGGAATAATAATTATCCTGCGGCTCGTAGCACACACGTAGTACGGAGATGATTAGATTCGTGTCGTCCGGGACGAGTGTCACTGCGACGCGGAATGTTTACAACCGTTGATGTTCCCCGTCGTCGTTTGAAGTAATCAAATAAAACGTATTGCCATGAATACGATCTCGTCGTCGGTAATGGACCTGTCCGGAGCGCGCGCGTTTAGTCAGTGTTCGTCAAACCGACGAGACGGAAAAGTGAAAAAAAAAAAAAATAATAACCGATGGGGTTTCTAAAACGACGTCATGAAGCTGTCCACGTCAAATGCGACGGCCATCAAACGTTTTTATTTCAATGTATCGAAAAATAAATTATAATTATGCTAATGCGCCGCGCGTCAACAGCGGTTCGTGCGTTATTATTATTATTACGGATCCTCCGTGGTTGCGTTGTATCATCGTACAACGATATATTGTGTCCGACCGGGCCCGTTCGGGATTAACGACGTCGCATATCTCAAATCGTAATAGCGGACCTTTTGGCTCATACAAGACGGATTTTTTTTAAACCGCTCACTCTGTACGCGCCGCGGCTCGCGATGCGTTTTCGCGGTTACTCTACTGCGGTGGTACGCTCTTTCGCGAACGTTTGCCCGTGGGGATCGAACCGTTTCGATTTCTTTCGTTCGGAGGAGAGAACAGGAAAAACAATAATAACAACAATAATAAACGGTCACGGGTGTCTGTTATTAGTGTAAACGATGCGAGTGTGCGTAATAATAGTACAACCGAACGCCTATGGTCGTACGGTTAACACCCTTATTGGGAATCCGATAAATGTGTTTACGTGATGCTCGAATATTATTCCGTCGACGGATCACGAGAAAGTATCGGGAAAAAAAAATCTTTTAAAGCCGTGAAAATGCCATGGTACGCGCCGCCCCTCCGCACCTCTATCTCTTACCGAACCGTATACCCCCACGGGCCGTACAACGCGTTTTGGACGAAAACAAAAAAAAAAACAACAGGTTTTCTAGGTCACGTTCAAGGTTCGGATTTATGAAAAATCGAATACGCGTCGGCTTCGTCGCGCGCGACCGTATTCGATAACAAGTATATCGGTATACTGTACATGTGCCAGACACCTATAGGTGCACCGAGGGCGGTCGGATGGATCCGAGATTCCGGTGATTTCTCGGCGTTAAATCGTATTGCCACCATTTGTATGATAATCGATTTGACGACGGTTTCGTTTAATATTATTATATTTTATTCCTTTCCGTCGCCCCTCACGAACACGGTTACCGCATTAACGATTGTGTTTTCCTCCGGCCGGTCCCGATTGCGGTGTGCAGCGGTGCCGATCGGTCAAGACGCTTTTTCGTGTGATTTATCGTACACGACCTGAACATCACTGTACACGGAATACGTTTTTCACGTCTACAACACATCATCGTCGTCGTACGAGTATTACACACCGGTGTTGAGTGCTCGGTCCTCGGTGTTAAGGCCGACGAGCTTAATTTCAATTTCTCAGAGTATTCGTGTCCCCGGGGTCGAATATCGTCTCTGAGATCTAAACGCGATCCAATGCGTGTAGGTGATAAATTACCAAACGCATTGCCGTCCTTTGCGTCCCTCGGATCACGACAAAATATATTTATACGACCGTTTTCAATCGTGATCGTTCAATGTTCGATATGCGTTATGTGTTTCAGCACGACTTGAAAATGCAATAACTATCGTTGTGTGTTTTTTTTTTTTAATATTACAGGGCTACAACAGTAATGATTTTAGAAATACTTTTATTTTCGGTTTCCAAGTTTAAAATTCAAAACTGTGTTCTATACAAAAATCAAAACAATAAAATAAACCTGTTTTTTCGAAAAATGTTGGCGCTCACATATCTTATTAGAGTTGAGTAATTTATTTAATACGATTATTTCGAACATTTGAGTTTTTATTTCGAAGATTCACTCGAGATTTTATCAGTATTTTAAATTACCAATCGGCTAGTTATTTAATGAATGCACGAAAATGATTAAACTTTCACATATTTTAAAAAAAAAAAAATCGCATTTAACTAACATTAAACCTCTATTATTGGTAGGTAAAAAATGTTTACAAACATTCGGGCTGAAGGAATGGCTGTTTTTATTGTTTTTTTTTCTCAAATGGTAAAACATTATTATTTTTTTTTTTTTGTATTTTAAGTTAAAAAAATTAAAACGTATACAAATATCAGTTATTGAATATTTAAAAAAATATAAAAAAAAAAAACAAATAGATAAATAAAAATATTTATTTGATCAAAAGTTGTTGTATTTCTCAAATCGTTTTGAAACATCCTTATATGTAACGAACGTACGCTAACCGTCATTAATCCGTTCGTTTTTTCGATTTACATTTTGGATAAGATTTTTTCTTTGTGTGTACGCGTTTGCACAACCTTTTATTTTACATGCACACAGTAGTAAAACCTCGCCAACCGCGTTTAACATAGAAAGTCTTCACAACACGTTTCGCGTCTCCGACGCAATTATTATTAAGATATTGTAAAATGGATGTTGTGACACCTTGTTGTTCGATTTACACGCGAAAATCCGCGTAACTCTATCTCACGTCGTGCCGAACGCGATAAGACTACATCTTATCATTATCGCCATCTATATACTCGTTAGTAAACGATAAAACACCACTGATTACGTATAAACTGCGATCGGGTAATTCATGAGTTGAACGGACTCGATACGTACACTCGTACTCGGTCACTTTTATAATCGAAGAATATCAAAAAAAACATTAGTCCAACTTGATTTTATTTATATTTTATGCCAAGCGATTGTTTTAATTTTCTCGATTTTACTGCAAGCGTCTAGTATAAGAAATGAAATTCGTCGAGAAATTATCGTTTTCCATCCGAATATCTTTCTCCCCATCTCTCCGCGGCCAATTGATACAGCAATAATACGAGCGCGGTAAGGATTTCAAACAACTAGTAAGTAACATTTCGATTTTTACCGCGATCACGCATAAAAACAATGTTTTTATTGCCGTCCAATAATCCTGTATCGTAAAACTATACACACTCTGCGTGTAGTTACACGACATAAATCGTTTGCATTAAACTTGTGTTACCCAAAACGACTCTCGTCTCTCGTAGGCATATCGTTAAAGGTAATTTGTTCGGCATGCCCAAATCGGCGAGTTCAAACGTTTCGGATTGTTTTCGACGGCGCGGACGGGAAATCGTCACTGCGTCCAGCAGGCATTCTTCTAACTCGGTTTGAAGTATGCGAGCGGTAAGACGTAACGGTGGAGCTGTACACGCCCCACCGTGTGCTTATTAAGAAATCATTTCCACTGCGGACCGTGTACAAATCAACGGGCCAAAGGGTAGTAATAGGTGTTAAAATGAGACACTATTGATTTCTATAGTCCTTTGGCTCATTTATGTTCGTATAAACCAGTGGTGACCACTAACCATAATTTTGGGAGCCGCAAATGTATAAAGCTATACTCGAAGCTAGTCACAATGTTAAGACATTTTGCTATTTTATTACATATACCTATGTATATATTTAATTATTATGGAAATTATTAGAAAAATTATTTATAAAAAGTGCTTTTTCGAATGTTTATTTTTTCCGTCAGGTTTTCGATAAGAACAATATCTAACGATTCTAATGGAATTATATTCATTAATTTTAATTTAAGCTTTTTTTCAAGAGCTGCACAATATTGATTTAAGAACCACATGCGGCTCGCGAACCTCGTTGTGGTCATCCCTGGTGTAAACCGTAACGCTTCACTGTAAGCGTGTCCAAACGCTTTCAACTATTTTGTTTACTGTTTACGCCAAAAATGTCACGATGGGCCGAATTCCTGTTTTCAAACTGTATACGTGATCGTATTCGTTGGGCGTTCATTCGGATGCGTTTTACGAGGAAGGATCATACTGTGGTTCAGGGCTTGTTTATATCGGTAAACGCGCTACTACAACACTTGAGCTTATGTTAACCGTCACTTTTGTTGGAACGTAAGCGCGGAGAGTTGGAAAAAAATTGCTATCGTTCGCAGTCAGGCACACCGAAACGAACACGATACCGTATAAAAAAAATTAAATCTATTTCGCCGTCATCACACGTTATATTTGTTTTTTTTTTTTATTTAACGTGTTTCTTCGGGGGTAAATGGCGTGCGACACCGGATTGCCAAGAACGTATGAGCGCTAAACGCACCGCTCGAAGGCACCGAATTTCCGAAATCACGTGTTATCGTTGCGGTGGCGATACCGACGGGATCGGTCGGCCGTGAAGTCCTCGGAGCGAGGTAACAAATCGATTATTACGGGTTCGGGTGGGCAATGAAATATCGCGGGAACCGGTCCTCGCGGTTGACACGTTAAACACATAGTCGCGGGACGAGACGCCGTCGGTTCGTACTCGGACGTATATTTATTAAGTGGCTGCAAGGGATAAACGTCGATGCCGCGAGTGTGTGCGGTAAAACACGCGTACACGTTTACCATAATACTACACTACTACTACTTATAATAATAGTATAATGTAATAGTACAACCCGCAAAGCCTTTTTTTCCCGTTTTTTTTTTGTACATTTTTTTTTTCTTGTTTTTTTTTTTTTTTTTTTGTCGCTCCCGCTCGCGATCGATATTGCCCTTACGGTTAACATGCGATACAATATAACATATATATATATACATATACATTGTATACGTGTACGATATTGTTGGTTTCTCGAAAAACCAATTACTCTGACGGACCCCGAGGACACGCGAAGCAATACCGAACAGAGATTATCCCACACACACATACGTAACGCATTCAAATTCGTCGTCCGTTAAAAATGATAGTGCGCAGTTCTCCCGTCGGGCGCGTATCGCGTGCGTTGGACGCTCGTCCGTATCGGTTCATAAACAATGCGTGTAAACATGTGATGATTGCGCTCGGCGCGAGCGATTATTTTCCGCGCCGAGGTAAAAAGATTAAAATCGTCCGTACTCGCGTGAGTACACGCATAAATAGATCTTTGTGCCGGCGAAGAGAGTTGGGGTGTGGAGTTCAGCGGAACGAAATTAAAAACAAATAGACCTTAAGTCTTATCGTCTACGCGAGTAAAAGGTTGTGTGTTCAATAACTTTAACGTATATATTATTAAAATCACTTTATTGGTACATAAACTGGTGATTGAAAGTGTTATTTTTTTTTTGGAGCAAACTCGTCTTTGTACGATGATCTTTGGGTTTATTCGTTGTGTTCACTACCGTTTTTTCGCGAGTTTGCTCGGAGTTGGTGTACAACGGTGGTAAATTAGAACGAATATAGTTGAAGATCAAAGTATGATTCTTAAATATTAAATGCCCAAACTTCTCCTTAATTCCCGTTCTACACCCATAATTTTATCCATTATCAACTTAATTTAACTTGTAAAAAAAATAAAATGTATAATAATAATATTTAACTGCATTGTTGTAATGTTTTTAGTAAAGGAAAATAAAAAAAAATATTAAAAGCCCATCGATATTTGGCAAGATATTAGGGACTTTAACGAACGTGTACAACGATAAACAGTGTTTTAAATTGAAAAAAAAAAATAGAAAATAAGTTCATGCCTGAAGTATTTTTGTTTGTTCATTTTGCATAATAAAATAGTATTCATTTTATATTAAAATAACGAGACTAGATCTCATTCGAACCGCAACCTCGAATAAAAAATAATTATAGATAATAGGATAATAATTATGAAGGTTATGGGCATTGCAGGTGTTGTTAGTTTGATGATTAATATTTCGATATAAAATGTAAAAAATATATAAATATTTAACATATAATTTACGTCAATAGTATAATAACTTTTACCGATATTGGGAAAATGATGTTTTTCGAAATTTATCACCACACGTATCCTTAATGTAATTTATTTTATTTTAAACCATAGGCTCTCTTATACATTATGTATTCATATAAAATAATAATAATTTTGATTTATTTCTTTCACATACACACACCGTCGGTAATAACTATCATCGTTTACCTACCCATCGGCAACATTTTAAAACCAAAATAGTGGTACGCATTTATTTTTTTGGTATTCCCGCGGGGATTTGTAATTTACGTTTACTGAGTGGAAAAATGTAGCTATAAACTATTTTAATGTGATATTTATTTGACGTCAAATATTGTTAAATTTACATTTCATACTGTATAATATTATTGTTTTAATTATTATTTTTTATTTTTTTTTAAGTACAAATTATGAAATAGTGCGTTAGGATGACTACTATATGATCTGTAGAACTAATACGAATTAAAATCATAAAAAAAAAAAAAATTAAAAATCAAAATAAAATAAAGAATCAGATCGAAAATTTGATAGACGTGATTCAATAAACGAGTTGCCGCAATGCCCTAAGAGATATTTCACCCGTCCATCCGGTCCTTCGTCGGTATTTCTTATCTTCTGTCATCGTACAAATTACTTTTTTTTTATTTATTTATTTAAATTTATACATATATTATATACACGATTGCAGATACTTCGGAGAGAACTCGTTTGGAAGTACCTAACTTAACAATTCCAGTATTGTGCTGTTGACTCAAAGCTGTATCGAAAATAAAAGAGAAATACACTATTCGTCTAAAAAGTTGAAATACCCGGTGCACCCTGCACGTTGTATTTAATGGGTTGGTAATATGTATATTTATGCGCAATGTAAATATTATTATACTGTTAATGTATATATTATAATTTTCAGGACGATATTCACATGTTGTACAGGTTATAATAACGAAACGATAATAAAGCAATAGGTTTACTTATATATATATATATATATATTTTTTATTATAACGTTTATATTGATTTAAATAATTCAGTTATACTGCTACAATACTCGAGTTTTATTAATTTCGATACCTTTGACTGTACATTTGGTTAATTTAGACATATAAGTATTGTTATAATTTGACAATTTATCATATTGACTTATTGTCGCACAATATATTTTCTAATTTATTTATACATAGTATAAATAATTCTCATTGTCTGAGGTAAAACCAAAGTATACCGATTCATTTAAAATATTGACGGAATGTACTTCTCACATAGCATGTCAACATTTAATCAAAGTTACATAAAGATGCATTTCTTAATGTTGATCATTATTTAAATGTTGATTTTAGATGAATTAGATGTGTATTAATCTTTACTGAATTTTGTATAAAGGTGAAATGAAATGGAATCATATATTCAAGGAATGTTTAACATTAAATGTTGATTTAGTATTAAAAATATAATGCTTACTAAATCTTTAAATAAACAATAAAATATATTAAATAATTATTGCATAAATCTTCATCAAAATAAATCAAACCTTAATATGATCTAAAACAAATATTTATACATTCAGGTACATTTACCAGGATGGTGTATACATTTATGCTTATTTATTGGGAAATAATTCCTTCCTTTTAGACATTTTTTTTTTTTTTTTTTTTTTTTACTTTAAATTCTATAACATTCTTTCCCAAAATCCCTTTTACTACCTGAAACACATAGCTAATAAATGTTATGACAAAAATGGAATGAATTGCATAATATAACTAACAAATTACCTGCAACTTTAGTTACATACAATTGGAAATAACCCTAGATTGGTTTATATAGTATACATATTTAAAAATATGTGTTAATATTTAATTAATCATTTTCTGTAGTTGGAGATTTGGACATTTTTTTTTTTTAATGTTGAATGGAGTCTGAATGAGAGTATTTTTAATATACTTTTCAGCATCGTCAGTAGGATTATCATGGTTGAATTTGTTTAACATTTTTACAGAACCTAGGAATAAAAGGGAAAAAAAATTACCACAATATTATTTAATATTTTTATAATAATATATGAACAAAATAAATGTTAATTCATTTTGAATAAGGTTTTTGCAATAATTTTATTAAAAGTGTTTATATATAGACATAATTAAGTGATGGCTAGGGGGCTTATCTAAATATTTATCTAACCCTCCGCCAAAATACTTATCTAACCTCCACACAAAAGGCTGCCGGTGATACGAAAAACAAAAGAAAAAAAATAACCCCCAAAAATAGAACTCTAGTATTGCATCTAAAAACGTGTTAAAGGTAGTAAAATATATATTAACACGAGTACTGCATTGTCCTGCGGATTACATTGTAAACAGGATTCTAAACCTCTAAATAGAAATAATTATATTAGTTAAGAATTATTGCAATTACCAAATATTAGTTTTGACATCATAAAGTTAGAAAAACATTTTTTTTGTTTCCTCGACCATTGAACGAATATAATTTAAAAGTTCATCAGAGAACGACAACTGCATCACTTTTCTAATGTATATTTGTACTGTTTTCCCACCAAGCCCAATTAGTTTTTTTTTTGTCTAAAACAATATATTTAAAAATATATTATAAAAATTACTATGAAAATCATAAAATAAAAAAAAACTTACCAACAATTTGTAATATTCTTTATTCAATAACAATTGTTCCTCGATATCATTAAAGTACTTAGATTTTGAATCAGTAAAAGACAATTTAGGTTAGTGTAATCTATAATATCATCATTATTTATATTTGAATTTTCTGTACTTCTTGAACTTTTTTCAATTAACAAATCCATTTCTATTGACATATTAGTATGTTATCACTATCTAATATATTATAACCATCGTCCGTCTGTTTGGGGAAAAACGTCATTGTACGTTTATTGAGCATTTAATAAAAATTAACTTTTCAATATTTATAATTTACACTAAATTAAATGTTTACATAGCATTGAAAAATATTCTATTTTAAATGTTTAAAAACAAATACTCCTTCTAGTTTTATTAAATCTTATTTTTAGAACCTTTAAAATTCAATTTAATCTCAACGTTTATTCAAATTTAAACATTAGAAAATGTTATATGGGTTATTACTATGGGTAAACACATTGAAAAAGGAATTTTCTAAAATGTCATTCTCGTCGACCGTTTTGAATTCTGGACTGGAATATAAATATATATACGTATATATAAATATGTATACATTTTTCCAAAATTCGTTAACCTATGAAATATATTATTTTGTTTAATACATTGATTTTAATAATTATTAATCGAGATACACATGAATTAATACCTGAAGCATAAATAAATGAAAATTATTATCCTTATAATATACGACGTTCGTGCGCGTTTTTACGTTTTCAACCTAACATTTTTTTTTTTTTTTTTTACTCCGAAACAGTAATTACTCCAATTAAAAAAAAGTAAATTTTCCCGAACAAGTCCGAATGATTCATCTAGCATAATACATATTTATTACTAAGCTATTAGAAGTGTTGACAAATATAACTGAGTTAACGATTCGATCAGTATCTCAAATCAATGAATCGTGTTATGGTGTGCCTGAACAGTAATGTCCGGTTATGACGAGGGGAAAAATTGGTTCCCATGCATATATGTGCTTCAGCGTGTGTATCGTGTTTCTAGAAAATGTTAAGAATTCGAAACGTTAAAAAAAATGTCTATAAAAAAAAAAAACTGTTTTTAACAACTATACATTTCGAATCATTCGTATTGTAGCGGGATTATCGATTTGGAAGACGCGAAGATATCACCCCGACGACGGGTTACGATGTGCTGTCGTGTACGTTGTGTCGACGACGTGCGTACGGTTGAAATGACCAAGTCAATATTATTTTACTGCCACGCGATACTCATCGACACTTATATGCCTGACGGACGTGTTGTTCGATCGGACGTGAAGATCTCGTTTCGTCCGGCCAATTAAATAGAAATGTTCAAAATGTACATTAATGGTTTAATTTTCACCCGTCATCGTTGTAACCGTGTGCGTACACGAAATACGAACAACTCAAATGTATATTATGCATATTAAGAAGTTTGAGATAGTCGTTTGGCCCGTAAATTACAGTACAAATCGGCCCGTCGTTGTGTATACATACGAGTTTGTACATTTTTAGCGCGTACGCGCATTTTACCAACTCGATTTTCGCTATGATTTTTATCAAATGGTTCGAGTTCAGAAACTATCAGTATATAATATATATATATATAGACACCCCATACACATTGCAATGTAATCGGAACAATAAATATTCAGATACACAATACGCTATGGAAAATATTATGATTTTATTGTACCCAGTTCACGTGATATTAAGCTATAATTATAATAGAATATTGTTGTGCGAAAAAGATTTAATCGACGAGTTCACATTATGGGTGGAGGATATTTTTTCCAACAATATGTGTGTGTAGGACAAAGCTGATGGCAATCGCGCTTGGATATACCCATAGTTCATTATAGGTACATTTTGGCTTTCTTTTTTTTTTTTTTACTCGCGATTAACTCTGAACACGCGGTATTCCGACTGCAACTCCGACGTAGATCGATAATATTTATGGGTACATACTAAACGATTTATCAACCGAAACGTGTGTAAAAAAACACTTGCGTAACTTTTCGTCCGTTATTACTACGAGTTCATGATGAGTTTTCAAATCGGATGCGTACACAGCCTTAGGCTTAGGTGTTCATTAACTACATAACGTTTCCATGGTTGTACCATGCGCATATATAATAGTATAATATATGCACGTAGAGATGTGAGTCGCGCCATGAATACCCGAGCGCGTAATTCGGGGAACGATTTCGATCTTGTTAATAACTCGTTATCGAGCAGTAACATTACACGCATATATCAACATAACATGTACCAATTACACGACTGTGTATCATTACGAATCGTATTCGGAAACCGTTTTATTAAAACGTATACGAATATGTTTAATCGACTCGTTTTGCCATTAATTATATCGTTCGGGCGGTCATTTGTACACGTAATATACATCCATTTAATACGTTTACATATACACTCGAATTGATTCCGAATTGCGCGTAGATCTAACACAAATTAACGAAATAATCGACAGTATAATATATGCCGTTATAAAATGTCAGTGGCGTATCCAGGATTCATTTAACGGGGGTGTTTTAAAATTTAATAGACTTATGGTGAGTGGGAGGCTCTGCCTTCCCCTCCTATATTACATAAATAAATACCTTGTATTTATATAAATTATTATACAAATGAAAATGATTATATTAAGACAGTGTATGTAAAATCGACAAGTTGTATACAACGTTTATTCAAATTATACTGTAAGTTTGTAATTCTAACACCAATATTACCCCCCCCCCCTAAATACGTCCCTGTAAAATGTATTTTAGTCTTAGTTTCTCCCTCTACCTATACGTTGATGAGTAAAACATTACAATGGATCCGCAACCGAAGCGTGTATTCGCTTTTTAGTAACACGACTCGTACAAATAGTTTTCGCGATCTCTTCGTCCGTGCGTTACGGAATAAGGATAAAAAAACGACAACGTTTACACGTTTTTCAAAAAACCGGGGTTGGGTTTTAACGATAGAAAAAATAATCGCGTACAACGGAGTGTGATTAGTGTACGTACCATTGGATTGCGCGATAAATGCTTTACCGTAATAGGTAACGTACATCATGACACGTTTAGTGATTTGTAACGGCCACCGCGGTCGGAGCGGTTCGCGCCCGCAGGTGAAAACAAAAAGATAAAATGAGTATTCCGCTCCCCCACCCCCATTCCGTTCCACGGCAAATACGTGCAACGGACGGACGAGGAGAGCACGTGAAAATTGTTTATCGACGGAACGTTTTTCCGTACTTGGATTTTATGGTAAACGCGGGTAAACGCATTGCGCGTGTGTGCACAAATGTTTTCTTTCTCGTTGTCTCGTCTGGAAGTTCAAAT